AGTGTCTTTTCATCTGTTGAAATCATTGTTAATGCTGCAAACTCATTTATTTTCTGTTACTTTTGCAAACCACAGGCAGAACATTTCTTGAAACTGATGGAGATATCATAGAAACTATATCCAGTTCGTTTAGAGATGATGGTTCAACTGCTTTGGCTTCTGTTCTGATTGGCAATCATCTGTATGTAGCAAATGTTGGTGATTCACGTGCTGTTGCTTCAAAAGGCGGCAAAGGTAAAGTGGCAGCAAGAAAGAAAAGACCAAAACATACAGCATCCACTTTTCTCACATTTGTAAATTACTATTATTTTTTCATTATATTTGTTTTATGATTTTCTATACATTATACTGGAGCATAAACAATTGAAGCAGTACTCTGTTTCACTTCCATCATCAATGGTATCTGAGAAAAGAAAGTACTTCCATCATCAAGAGGAGTGGTCCTTGTTTCTAACCGTACGAGTAGGCCAGTAGGGAATATAAACTCTGCTGAACTGAAAATTTATCACTGCACCACTACTTCATTATGTTGCTATTTTGCCTTGATAAGCTTTCATGACCCTGAATCTGTCAATATTAATCGTTCTTTGGTTTATTTGTTATCTGTGAAGAATAATTAAACGTACTATTTGTTTGTGTGCTATATAGCTGTCCCATTGTCAAAAGATCACAAACCAAACAGGACAGATGAACGGAAGCGAATTCAGGATGCTGGAGGTGTTGTTATATTGGATGGTAAGCCTTTTAATCCTTAGAATACTCTTGATGTATTTAAGCCCACTTAATTGGGTAAGCCTTTTATTCTCTTCAGAATCCTCAAAATATTTAGCCTAAACCACAAGCCCTATGATTTAAGCAACTCAATGTTTCACATTTAGGTTAGTTTAATGGGGTGGCATCTGATTGCATCAGTACATGTTTTCCTGTCTGTCAAATGGTTGAAGGTGCTTTGTAAGTATTAATTGGTTATTGTCATTCATCATTTGATATTAGCATTCCTGCAGATACATGGAGAGTTGGCGGAATTCTAGCAATGTCCCGTGCATTCGGCAATCGTCTACTGAAGCAGTATGTGACAGCAGAACCTGACATTCAGGTATACATTTGAAGTTTAATTAAAACTTTCAGTAGTTCTGAACTTTAGTGCTACCTAGAAAAGGCTTCGTGTGGTTGGTCTTAGAACTGGAAATAGTATTAACCAGTCTATTTAGCAGCAGCAGCAACAACAACAACAACAAAGCCTTTAAGTCCCAAACAAGTTGGGGTAGGCTAGAGTTGAAACCCAGCAGAAGCAATCAAGGTTCAGGCACGTGAATAGCTATTTTCCAAGCACTCCTATCTAAGGCTAAGTCTTTGGGTATATTCGATCCTTTCAAGTCTCCTTTTATTGCCACTACCCAAGTCAATTTCGGTCTTCCTCTGCCTCTCTTCACGTTACTAACCTGGCTTAGGATTTCACTACACACCGGTGCCTCTGGAGGTCTCCGTTGGACATGTCCAAACCATCTCAACCGGTGTTAGACAAGCTTTTCTTCAATTGGTGCTACCCCTAATCTATCACGTATATCATCGTTCCGAACTCGATCCCTTCTTGTATGACCGCAAATCCAACGCAACATAGTATTTCCACGACACTTATCTGTTGAACATGTCGTCTTTTCGTAGGCCAACATTCTGCACCATACAACATAGCAGGTCTAATCGTCGTCCTATAAAACTTGCCTTTTAGCTTCTGTGGTACCCTTTTGTCACATAGGACACCAGATGCTTGGCGCCACTTCATCTACCCTGCTTTGATTCTATGGCTAACATCTTCATCAATATCCCCGTCTCTCTGTAGCATTGATCATAAATATCGAAAGGTATCCTTCCTAGCCACTACTTGACCTTCCAAACTAATATCTTCCTCCTCCCGAGTAGTAGTGCCGAAGTCACATCTCATATACTCAGTTTTAGTTCTAGTGAGTCTAAAACCTTTGGACTCCAAAGTCTCTCCCGCCATAACTCCAGTTTCTGATTCACTCCTGTCCGGCTTTCATCAACTAGCACTACATCGTCCGCGAAAAGCATACACCAAGGGATGTCCCCTTGTATGTCCCTTGTGACCTCATCCATCACTAAGGCAAACAGATAAGGGCTCAAAGCTAACCCTTGATGTAGTCCTATCCTAATCGGGAAGTCATCCGTGTCTCCATCACTTGTTCGAACACTAAACCAGTCTATTTAGCAAGCTAAAAGAAAAATAAAAGAACTTTCACTAGCCTGCCCTTTATTCTTTAAGTTTGATATATTGATGCTACCTTTGTATCAATATGTTAATGAACATGAGTAAGTATTCATGTTGTTGCAAGGGTATTAGTTACATTAGATGAGATGCCCATAGTTTCTCTTGTGAAGAAGTTTGTTTAAGGTTTTCATTGCTGATGTTTTAGTGGTACTGTGTGGGATGTGGGAAGTGTTAAAGGACTTTATTTGTGGCAAGGAATATATTCTTCTGTTTCTTACTATTTTTTCTGACAAGGAAACGGGTTTCAGATGAAACTGATTAAAGTCAATTCTTGTACGGGCAATAAATGATATATTACCAGGCAATAAATGATATTGAAAGAGTACTCATATTGAAACAATGGAGTTTGCAAAATACTTGGGAATCAGGATAACCAACCATGACTATCATGGTTTCTACCAATAATGTTACAATTAAGTGTGAACTGTAAGTTTGCCGCCTTTTGAGCTAGTATCTTGCCAAAAAGGGAAGAAATCTTTTAAGCTGTTGACATAGCTCTACTGGAGTCTGGAAGTAATATTCTGTAGTTTAGGTTACCAAGTTTGAGTCTCATTATAGTACTCCATTTAAAATTTCTGATAAGGATTATAGTCTATTAGTCTTGATGCACTGTCTTGGCATGCACTCAACCATATTCTTCTGGAAAGGTGATTTTTAGAAATAATCTTTGGTAATGTTATACAAAAATGCAGGAAGAAGAGGTCAGCAGTGACTTGGAATATCTGATTCTTGCTACTGATGGGCTTTGGGATGTTGTGCGAAATGAGGTATCTCCTTGAATTGTACCTTAAATGGTCGACTGAGGTAATCTGGTATTGCTTATGTGGTCGAGAAGAGAGCATGACATTAGATACTACCTAGCTACTAGTATGATTTAGGATTTAGGAAGGTTGCTCTGTTCTATTCAATGCAATCCTATATATGAACAAAACCTTAATGACTATTTAAACTGGGCATGCTATCCGATAGACTCTCTTTGTCTCAAACTGACACACGCATGCTGGCATGAGTGTAAAGACACGTTTTTTTAAACCTAATATGGTTTAGGGTCTTATTAGCTCCATCGCTAATCATTGTTTATCATCTCTTGTCAACAAGGATGCCATTGCCATTCTGAAAGCGGAAGATGGACCTCAGGATGGAGCCGTGAAGTTGACGGAAATTGCCTACTCCAGGCGCAGCACAGACAACATCACATGCATCGTTGTGCAATTTCACCATGACAAGTAGGAGTCCTACAGGACTCGGACATGATACCTTGTGGTAGCAAATTTTTGTTTATTATTAGATAGAATATTAGTTGGTTTTACCTGATCTGCGGGTGCTATAATGCTATTAAGGCATGAGCAGCCCTGAAAGAGATTCGGGCATTCATTCTTTTGATCTGTAGGAAGACATTTCAAATGATGAGTATAAATGAAATTTCTTCAGTCACTTTTACGTTTTACCAGCTAGTCAAATCATTATGCACTTTTATATTATGCACTTTTATATTGCTCTTGCTTCGGTTCTTGGATGAGAATATGTTCCGATTTCCTGTAGTGATTTGATTCACGGATACAAACTGCTGATTCTTGCCTTTTGTTCTGTCCTTCTCGGCCCTTTGGCCTGATTTGTAGTATGTCCAAATTGTTAAAACCTGAACTTTAGCGAATTTCAGTCAAACAGCCTTTTCGCTTGTTAGTTTCAGTCAGGGCTTATTAGTCAGCCAACAGTGTTTTTCTCTCACAACAAATCAGCATCAGTCGGGTTTATCAGTCCAGAAACTAACCAGCGAACAGACCGAAAGCACGTAGATAGTATCTTCTTTTGAAGGATAGTTTGTTTACATCCTGGGGTCCTAAAGAGTTCATAATTCATATGAATGGCTTATTTGTTTTATCAGAAGGGCTAGCATCCGCATCCCACCACCTGAGTCCACATCCCATCTAGCGCTCGTGTCCCTGTGTCCGGACGTTGCACCACGCCCATCCAGCGCCCTAGCGCCCTGCTTGCGGATGTACGCCACGGAGGCGTCTGCTAGCCACAAGTGCCCGCACGGTGACTCACGACAGCGTCCCCCAGCACCAGCAGTCAGGTGCCTGCACGGTGACTCATGACGGCGTCCCCCAGCACCAGCAGTCAACTGTCCGTTAGCCACCGACATCATTGAAATGTGTGCTTCCCTAGATTTACTTTTAAAACATTAAGATTAAACACTTGCAACATACGTCTGAAACATATGAAACACTTGAAATATACGCTTGAAACATGTGTGTATAGCCATAGCAACATATGCAACATCAAAATCTACTTTTACAACATCCAGACGAAACACTTGCAACATAAGTCTGAAACACTTGAAACATGCCTATAGAGCCATAACAAACATATGCAACATCCAGATAAACACATTTGAAACATAGACTTGCAACATGCATATATTGTCATTGCAACGTATGCAACATCACAGATCTACTTTTGCAACAATCAAATAAAACACTTGAAACACAGTCTGAAAATGCCTGAAACACTTGAAACACATAACGTTGCCAGCAGCCACGACCTATCTGGTGCGGAACCAGGAAGTTCGGGTCATGGGGACGTCGAGAGCAACGGTTAGCGAGCTCCCCTGGTGGCGCGATGCACGTCGTAGCTACGAGAGCGTGCATGCCATATCTACGATAGCCGAGTTGGACGGAAGCGCCGCAGGGGACACCCCACGCAGCGCGGGATGGAGCCTAGCCGCGGCGCGGGATGGGGCATGACGGGGATGGTCACAACAGAGTGGGGCCGGTGGAGGCGCGTCGCAGGCGCGGTAGGTGTATGGCACGACAGACGCGGACGCTGCGAGCAGACAGCGCCGTGAAAGCTGCCGCTACGGTTGGAAGTAGGGATGTTCGTGCGCAGATGAGTTAGGAGGCCATAGGAGTGAGGAAATGTTCGCAGCAAGCAGATGAGTTGGGGAGCGCGTTGTCTGTTTGGACCCGATCGCTGTAAAGAGAACTAGGCATGTGGACGGATACGCGCGGAGCCCTACCCATCATTATCATTGTTTTACGACGAAATTAGCTTAACAAAAGTGAATAATACTATTTTGGATAACCGATCTGAACTGTAATCCAAGTTCTAAAAAACAACCGTAATCAAAGACGATCGGACGGCTTGTGAGAGCTCCTGAGCTAACCTCTCTAGCAGCAGTCACCATCCCCTCCGTAGAGCCTGGTCTAAACCCCCCGGCCCTGAGCCGGGATCCCAATTCCACCCTATCATCCTTAAACCCTAAACCACCGGGCGGCCGCCATGCGGCACCACCACCACCTCTTCACCATCCTCCGCCACGCGGTCGCCTCCGCTGCCTCCTAGCGCCCGGAGCCCCTGCCCTAGCACTCCATCGCACTCTGAAATGGCACAGCTGTGCCCTTCTCCCCGTGCTTCTTCTCCTCCCGTGTCCGCTCCTCGGCTGGCGCCGCAAAGACATGGGCGGCGGCAGGGGTATGCACCTGTATTCCATGGAATACCCAAGTTTTTGGAGACAAAAAACAAATACATATTATACATATACAGCTGCCGTAAAAGTTGCAAAGTTGGCCCATAAGCCCATCTAGACACCCATGATGTTACAGAAAGGCAGAAACTCCTCCGAGTCCCATCCCTGCACTTCGCTTCTCCGACGGCGGACAGCGGACATTGCAGCACCAGCAGTTCGGTACTCTGTCTCTCGCCTCTCGCTCGCATCAGCTGGGAGCCTAGGATCCGCGGAAGGACGGAAGCGGTGGCGGCTGGTGGCATAGGCACGTAGCAGCACGACAGCCTCCCCTCGGCACCGACAGCCCAGCATGCCGCACGCCGCCGCCTCGGTGCCTCCCCCTCTGTCGTCGCCGCTCACCCCTCCCCTTCCCCAGTTCGGCAATTCCCTTGCCCTGCGGCGCTGCGTGAGCGGTCCGGTCGAGGCGTCGAGCGACGAGCCCAACCTGCGCGGCTGCAGAACCATTGAAGCTGAAGCACGGTGAGCACAGTAACACAGCAGTGTCAGATCCATTCTTCAGAGTTAAAATTTAGGATTTCATTTTCTAATTTTTTTGCATTAGATTCTTGTAACATAGATGAAGAAGAAGGGTGCTAGCATATTTGCATTGTGGGAGAAAGCTGCAAAGGCAAAGAAAACAGCTTCCACATCCACACCAAATCCTTCTCCTGTTGAGGTTGAGAGCCAGTACCCTGCTGAGAGCAATCTGCATCTAGCAATTGTGGAAGCATAGGATGATGGTGAAGCAAATGATGAAGCTCGAGCTCCCCAACCGGACAGAGTTCCCCCAACTCCAATCGTAGAAGATGATATCATTAATCAATTTCAAAAAGAGGACCGTAGAGTCACATTTTAGTAGCTTTGATGTTTTGTAATCTTTTTTAATTATTAGAGACAATGGTACTATGCCACTATATTCAGAGGTTGTACTTTGCTTATTACTATTGCACGTTTGTATGGAAATTTTTTATGCATGCGGAATACGAAATCCTGGCTCCGCCATTGCGCGAAGAGCCTTGTGGTGGGCGAGGCGAAGCTCAGCGACTGGATTAGCGACCTCAAGACTGACTCGTTCCACCTCGGGCTCAGCAGCGGCGACGAAGGCGACGCGCCATCCACCCGTAGGACCTCGGTCGGCGCATCTAGGGGCGGGCGAGGTGGGTGGGACTCCAGGGGTTCGTTCCCAAGGTCGAGGATGTCCGGCGGTGAGTTTAGTGGCGATAGGCGCGGTGGCTTCGAGCGGAGGGGGAGGGTGATGAGTAGTGACCAGGATGATGATGATTTCAGTTCCTCGAGGGGAAGGCGGGGACGGGGTGAGAGGTCGTCGGGGTTAGTGAGAAGAGGAGGGAGGGGGAATGGGTTCGATGAGGAGGCCGCATTTAGGTCTCCTAGGGGGCAGCCAAGCCAGCGTGGGAGGGGTTCAGGTGTGGCAAGAAGGGGAGGGAAGTATAGTGACTTTGACCGAGATGGTGGTGATGGTGACACTGGATTTGGGTCTTCAAGGGAAGGACGCGGTGCCAGTGGACAACTGTCTGGATGGTCACATAGAAGAGGAAGGGTGACTGATTTAGATGACGATGAGGACAGTGATGATGATTTGGTTGGGTTTGGGGATCGTGATGGAAAGCGACATCATGGTTGCAGGAGAGGGGGAAGGGAAGACACAGTTGGGTTTCGCCGAGGCCGGGGCAGGAGGGATTTGGGTCTGTCGTGGAAGGGAGGGAGTTACAGTGATTTGGGTGATTATGATGGCGACATCGGATTAGGATCCTCTAGGGGAAGACGCGACCGTGATGGAAGGATGTCTGGTCTTTCGTGGAGAAGGGGGAGGGGAAGTGATTTAGATGACGACGAGGATGATGATGCTAGTCCTGATGGGTTTGAGGGTTCTAGTGTAAGGTAGCAAGGTGGCAGGAGAGGCGAAAGGGCGAAGAGTGTTGGATCACATCAGGGTGGGAGGGGCAGCAATATGGATTTTGGTCACCGCCAGCCAAGGGGTGTGAAAAAATTTGACTTTGGCTTGTCAAAGGATGATGATGAGGCGGGGGAAGTTGATGAGGATGATGAGCCATCAGGGTTCGAAGATGATCTTTTTGGTGACGAGGGTGTTAAGGAGGATGTGGGACTGATAACAAGTAATAAGTCTGGCTCATCTATGTCAGCCAAAGATGAGCCAGCTAAACATGAAAGTGTACAGGGCAGACGAAGTACTAGGGGTGGTGTTTCTTATCTGAGCCAGAAGAGGTAGCTCTTAACTCTTAGTGATGTGGAATAATATTTATGGTTCTCTTAGGTAGATAGATAGCTTGTTCTTCTCTTCTTGATGCCTATTCGATTATTGATATGCATCAATGAAAATAGGAGAAAAATGGTGGTTCATATTTTTTAATTTGCCAAGTATACTTCATGATTACTTTCAATTATCTGTAATCTACTTGTGAACTTGTATGATGTTTGACTCATTGGCTGCATCAATTCCATGGCAGCTATCACTAGTACTTTATTATTGAAACCTTCTACTTCTCCTTCCAACTTGGCTGCAACATCTCCTATCCTTAGTGTTGTTTGATGGGTTTCTGACTTAGCGTAACATATTCTGGTTCACTTGATGTGGAAGTGTTATTAGAAACCTAAGTATTTCCAGTCAGCAAAAGCCAGTGAATTTGAAGACATTAAGGCTGTGGAGAAACTGTGAGTGTACTTTGAGGATCATTCAGGAGTCCTATGTCTTAGTTTAACTTTCATCTCAGTTATGGTTTGCATCTAGGGGCACTGGAATTGGTATTTGAAATTCACAAACAATGCACATTTTGAATTCAGAGTAGGTAAGGGATTGAAACTGTTAAAGATGGGCTTTGTTTATATTCCTCACCAACATTGTAGGTTAAGTTGCTTAATGATATTGCTTTTGGCATTTAGGTTATTATTGTGAACCCACACCCTTGGTTTCTTTGAACTGAGCACAGTTTTGTGATGATTGGACTTTGTAAGATAATTTGGAGGACTCGGCAAACTGTTGCTAAAATTTTCCTGATTGATCGATGGTGTGGTTGATGTTGCTACGACAACTTTATTTTAACAGACCATTTTAAAAATATCTCTATTCAATTTTTCAATTTTTGTGCAGCTTGTAATAAACAAACTCTACGAATGCGAGGATGGTTCCCCTCCCCGACCCCCTCCACCTCCCTAACGCCTCCCATCCCACCACCAGCCGCCTGCCGCAGCCTACTCCGGGCACGGCGGCCACCCTCACGGCTTCGGTAATCCTTAGCCTGGCCTCTCCCTCTCCTTTGGCGTCCGGAAATCCTACCCCTACAGGTCGCTCCAAGGCCCAATGATGGCTGGATGCTTCACCTTCCTCGAGTGACTCCGACGAGGGCTCCCTTTCATTCAAGGAGGTTCTTCTTCATGGACCAGCCTCGGCAGTGTCCTCGTAGACCCCTGGTGTCGCTGTTTCCCAGGGTGTCTCGGTCACTACCTCGCAGGCTGTTCCCTAGGTTCCTCAGGTCGTCCTCCAGTCTGCTGGCCACCCGCTTTGGGAGCAGCGCCCTACGCCGATGGCTGGTGGATGGTAGAAGGTCGTCGTTCTCGCAAGACTCGTCTTCGTCAGGCTCGCCCGCCCCGTTGACCGGTCCCTAGTGATCTCCGGGGCAGGTGCTTCAACTGCCTCTCTCCTAACCACCGCGCAGCGGAGTGCCGCTCAGGACCACGCTGTTTCTTCTGCCGCAGTGTCGGCTATCGAGGTCACATCCGGAAGCGCCTCCGCCTGGTAGGCATTTGGTTTGGCGGCCAATGCAAGCTGCTCTAGCTGTTGCACCCCCCCTTGCGGCCACCATGGACGCACATGCTTCAGAAGGGCCTGGAACTTCTGGTCGTCGACGGCATGCCCTGTAACAGAACCGACCAAATCATAAGAACGTAAGTACAAAAACAATCACCGAAGCGATCAAATTCCTGTACTTAAGCTCCCATAATCCCGGTAGTCTAGAAATCACGAAGGATTTCAACCAACTCTCGACATACAAACCAAGATCGTAATGATTCAACACAACACATCATTCGTTATAACATTTCACAAGTAGCATTCGGATTACATCCATCAGAGTTCAAATAAAATATTACAAACCAAGTTTGAGTGTGCGGAAGCAACATAATTTAGTACAAAACATCATAGTTTTCAAATACATTGCCAAGTCCGAGTCATGTCCCGCAAAAGCATTATCAGGTACGAGAACTAGTAGAGACCGCGCCCAACAGTCTAGTCTTCATCCCCAGCAGTGAGAAGGCAGTACTTGCAGCAACCAAAGTAGAACTGGTCATCTGCAACAGGTGGGAAATAAACCCTGAGTACAAGAAGGTACTCAGCTAGACTTACCCGACAAAAACCAGAAATAAAAGACACCAAGGATCATGCAAGGCTTTTCAGGTGGGCTAGCTTGACACAGTTGCATAAAAGAGCTTATGATTATAGTAACCAATTTAACCTTAGCATCAAGCTTATCATTAGTTACCTGTCCACTAGATTAGCACCTGTACTAGAGCACTCACTTATTAGGAGCAAACAATATTAACCATAGCAGGTATAATAAGGCTGTCATCATCATATCATCATTTCTGAACCCTTAAGTTATTAAGTGTATCTACATTGGAGATAAGCCCGTCAAGTTCTCACTAACCGAGAGAGACGACGATTCGAATCGAATTACAACTCAGCTGAGGGGGTATTCCTAACTCTCACCCTGGCATACTTAGCAAGGGTAGCCGTGCGTCACCTTTGGGAACATCTCAGGAACCAAATTCGCGGGTTCGATCAGCGCCAGCACTCTCAGGGATTACCCTTCTGCCAGGACGATCAGGACTTTTAAATCACCTGCCCTTGGACTCACGCCTATGGCTCCCTTCCGAGGCGCACTTTATACTTATCGACTCTCGGCCTAAGGTGAGCTACTCGGCTTCGCGGTCGGTCTTCAGGCCAGCCAACTAAGAGAGAGGCATGCGTTCAACATGAACAGGAAAGGCTCCAAGATCCAGTCCTTAATTGACACAGACGGAGTCACTGCAAACCGACAAGCCTCCGCCCGGTCTTCATTTCAAATTAAGACTGGTTCTTTTCCACGATAGCAATTATAGCCAACCGTGCCACATGTATCTTCCTATATCTCGTAGGTGACAGGAAATCACCCGACTTCTACCGCGTTTAAGCAGGGCTAAGCACTACTCGAGCCTGAGCTACATAGGATTCAGGGTAACAATATCTAGACAAGGATTGGGTAACCAATGGAGCAATAGTTTGCATCCAACACCTAAACTTAATGCAACAATATATATATATATGTAACAATAATACTGTAACTGTATTTCAGAAATTAGGAGGCTTAATATGCTCCGGGGCTTGCCTTTCACAAAGTTGCAAGGACGGTGGTCCGGGCACTCAACGGTGACCTCATCTGGCACTTCTCCTGAAGGTTGCTCCTCCTGAATCTCCGGTGCCGGCTGCTGCTGCTCGCTCCGTTCCTCGAATTCCAGCAGGGTTACTCCTTCCGGTACACCTATTGCATGCCGATGCAAAAGATAAATATCATGGATGCATAAGGAATGACATGATGCTCATGATGAATGAATCACAGTGAGTGTTTACGAAAGCATCACTGAACACTCGTTTACCGAGTAATTAGCTCTATTCAAATCACTTTAATCATGTATCTAACTTAACTTAAAGAACAAGAGCAACTTACCTAACTTGCATAACCTAAGATAAAGATGCTCATCTTCAGTTAAAGGCCTAACACCTAGGAACATTACCACAAACTTTGAAATAGTAAAGGCATACATAATTCAACATTTAAAGTTTCATATGCACACAAATAGTCCCTTAATTCAATCACAACCAGAGTTCTACAAATCCAAATGACTTGCAAGAGGACATTCTGGAAAGCTTATGAAATTCTCTACAATTCATTTGTAAACATGAAAGCATGATTCTTAAGTTAACCAAATCAAAGTCTAGTAAACCTAGAATCTGTCCCGCAATGACAGGGTTGCTAACTTAATTATTTAATGATGATGCAAAAGCATAATTTGATCAATCCAAGTTTACCAACTTGTTTTTCATACCTAAGAAACATCAGAAAGTATAGTGCCAACTTCTAAATAATTTATTTAATATCCTTTTCCAATTTATTTAGTTAATTAGGTGATTTAAGCAATATATAGTAAAACTATTCATAAAAATCTACAAAAATTACAGTAGCTATCTCATGCTGCACATAGACTACCATAAAAATTTCAAAGCCATTGGACAAGTAAAACTTGCTGTATCTAAAATAACAGATGACATGTCTATTTCTAGCATAATTAGGAAACCTTATTAAAAAGTGTCAAGCAACAGATTTCCCATTTTTTCTAGCATCATTCTAGCATAAGAATAGCACTCATCAAATTTACCTCCACTGGATCTATAGAAAAATTATGAAAATTCACACAAGATCCACCCATTAATAAAAGGAAATTCTATAACTTACAAACTACACATGCACTAGCTCTGAAATTTTAACCAGAGCTTCTAATAAGCAATAATAGACTACCCACAAAATTTCATAATTTTTGGACCACAGAAACTCAAGATAAAATTCAAACAAGTTTGCATGCATCTAAAAACACATTTCAAAGTCCTATTTAATTCATCAAAAATTTCTAAAACATGTGCCCATATAATATTTTTATTAAATACTAGACAATACTAGGAACCCAACAAAATTGTAACCATAGCATTTGGATCTATATACTAGGCAATACAAATTTTTGAATACCAATACAAATCTGTGAAATAATAAAACAAAACAAATAAGGAAACAAAACTTCAACACACAGTTGGGCGGCCCGAAGGAAGAGCAATGACCCCTTGAACCTACTGTTGGCGCTGCCCAAGACGCAGCTCATTAAGTCGGGCTCTCATGCAGCAATGATCGACGACAAGCGAGGCCAGCGTGTCGGCCGAGACAGCGGGGAGGAAAAGCAGGCGGTGGCGTAGATTGTCGCCGGTGACATCTCCGGTGAACTCGACAAAGACCTGGCGTGTTCCCCACACCCATGCGCATCTAGAGGACCCATCTATTGCAACGATTGCAGTGGCTAGAGGGGGTGGCGACGAGCACGGCGGCGCACGGCCGCGGCATGCCCGGCTCCGGTGAGGCTACGGCGCTGCTGCCCTAACGGTTGACACTACGAGCTTCGGTGGTGTTCCCG